CTGCGGGAGTTTTTCTGGGACACACTTCTCGAAACATTAATAGAGAAACTTTGTATCTAGTCAAGGGCCAACCCTGAGAAGTAAGTATAGGTGTGTGTGTGTGTGTGTTTTAGTAAAAATTCTTGTTTTTCTTAAAACATGTTTTTCTGTCCTGACCGGTTTGGCTCAGTGGATAGAGCGTCGGCCTGTGGACTGAAGGGCCCCAGGTTCGATTCCGGTCAAGAGCATGTACCTTGGTTGCGGGCACATCCCCAGTAGGGGGTGCGCAGGAGGCGGCTAAATAGATGTTTCTCTCTCATTGATGTTTCTAACTGTCTATCTCTCTTCCTCTCCCTTCCTCTCTGTAAAAAATCAATAAAATATATTTTTAAAAAAACACACATTTTTTTCTAAACATTGAGAGGGGTGGAGAATGAGAATCCCAGATAATCGAAGCTTATTAATAGTTGGATTAACTGAGGTACAGGATCAGAATCAGACTTGGTTAGCTTCCTTCAGGGCCAATCCAGGGAAATAAGGACATTGGTAAACAGCACTTTACTAGTCCTTTCCCCACCCTCAGGGCTTTGCTGGGTCCCCATTGAGAAAAGGCCGGCAGAAGACCTGAACACTCACTTGCTGTAAGATGTTAAGGGTTGGTTCATTTGTTCCATTACTTATTGAACAGTTTCTCACTTTATTGCTTTGTGCTGGGTCCCCGAGTTTGTCCCACAAGAAATGTAAGGCCCTGCTGACTCCCCAGCAGTCCCTAATCAGTTTGTAAAATATATGTCCTGCAGGGAGGCAACAATGCAAGAGATTAAGTGACAAGATGAGAGAGGATAATGTTACTTCTCCCAGGGAGCGCCTCTCTTGGGAGTCTGCTTTTTAACTCTCTGGTAAAGGTGTGCTGGGAGCTCTTGTGGAATTTCCCCAATTCCACAAGCCCGATAAGGAAGCATTTTCTTTCTTTCCTTTTTTCTTTTAAATATATTTTTATTGATTTCAGAGAGGAAGGGAGAAGAAGAGAGAGATAGAAACATCAATGATGAGAGAGTACAATTGGTTGCCTCCTGCATGCCCCACATTGGAGACCAAGCCCGCAACCTAGGCATGTGCCCCTGACCAGAATTGAACCTGGGACCCCTTCAGTCCACAGGCTGATGCTCTTTCCATTGAGCCAAAATGTCCAGGGCTTTTTTTTTTTTTGTAGGGTGTGTGCACTTCATTTCATAGTAGCCACAAATTCCTTTTGCTGTGGGTAAAATAACCATGCTCTGAATGTGAGCACTGGTGAGTAGCTTTTTTGGCATCTGGGTAGCTTTTGGGACAGTTTAAAAAGAAACGTGGTTTTTCAAAAGAGCTAAAAGGAGGACATATTTTAGAAATGCCAAAATGCTTTTATAAGGGTTTGGCTTCTGGCAAGAGATTTAATGTTTAGGATTTCAAGGAGATATTCCAAAAATGTGAAAGTACCTGTTTAAATGTGGTTTCAAGAAGTTAGGAGCAATAAGTCAAGCAAACTGGATGAACTTTACAAACGACTCCGTCTGGAATGCTTTTTCACAAAAGTAGTTCTACGATCAAATACGACAACCAAATACAACGATGTTCATCTTAGTGGTGAAAACATATGGAAATAGTTTTAATGTCCAATAGATTAATGAAAATAAAAATTAAGTTTCTGAAGAACTCTTAATGGAATTGATGTTTACTGTTCTGGATATATACAGATGTGCATACAAAAACACTCAAAGAAAATACTTTATATCAAAATGTTACTGGATAAAAGTGATTTTCATTTTCTTGTTTCTTTTAGTTTTTTTTTAGAACTTCTACAGAGAACATGTATCATTTTCATAATTAGAAAATTTGAAAATGAACATTAGTATTATAAAGAATTTATATCTAACATTCATTTTATGAGAATTGAAATGTGACTTAAATATAAAGAATTATTGTATTTTGGTGTAAACATTGTTCCTGTCCTTGAAAAGGCTAAATATACTTATAGTAAAGAATGCACTTAATTTTTTTTTTTTTTGCTTCTGTGACATACAGGTTTTTTGGCACTTCCGTGAGGCAATAGAAAACCTGTTCTCCATCACTGTTTATCACATTTTCACAAATCCCTGTTGGAAAAGTTAGTTGAAATTATGGTAATGTTAAGAAAATTTAATCTCTTCAACTAACTCCCTGGGGCTTAAAAAAAATATTCAACACTAAGCTGTGTGATCTGAAAAAAACCTCCTGGGCAAAAGATTAAATTAGGCACTCTGGTTTGGCTGCCCAGCAAGACTGACATAGGATAGCCTTGATACTATTACAGTGGAAACAAAAGTGGAAAAAGAATAGAAAAACCTAGGCAGTTTATAATTAGACAAAGTGACTGGATAAATTCAGCAACTTGTAAATAAGTCAAAAATACACAGGGCCCTGGCCAAATTATCTAGAAAATGCCACTTACTGTCTAAGGTTTTAAGTCAACAGCGCCAAGTTGTTGCCAGAGGCTACTACCTGGCAATCCTATTCCTTTAACAAAAGCACCCACCTCTTTTTTACAGTTGAAGCAGCAAGGCTAGGGGAGCCTCTTTCGTGAGCGGTAGTGAATTCCAGGGATTTGGTTCAGAATTCAGTCACTTACCTCAGGGTTCCAGACAGTCTGGAATCCCAAAGCAAGCTCTTCTCCAGTGTGGCAGCTTGCTGTAGAGAAAAAAGCTTGAAAATTCTAAAGCACCCTACCTTATCTTTCTTCCCCAACTGTGGAGCAGTCTAGAGAAATTAACCCTCTCATTTGTTAACCTCAATAACAGGCTTTAACAGATCTGCAGCCCTGGCTGGCTCAGGTAATTGCCCTAATTCATTTGGTATGGAGGGAGGCAGGGGCAGCAGGCACTTGGAGCTCACGTCATTAAGCTTAAATTAAGAGAGGAAAAAAACTCAAGATGGTATGCCTTACAGATTTGACATATGAATTCCAGATGTTATGGAAGACATTTTACTGTTAAGGCTTTTGGGCCACTTTTTGTAATTAAGGAGAAGATGGGAGGGGAAGGCCTGAAGGCAGAACATGGTAAAGAGAGCAAGGTTCTATAGACTCTTAAAGCCTCAGGAGGTGTGTGTGTGTGTGTGTGTGTGTGTGTGTGTGTGTGTGTGTGTCTCACAGACACAGGAGGTGTGTGTGTGTGTGTGTGTGTGTGTGTGTGTGTGTGTGTGTGTGTCCAAACTGAAAACTAGCAAAAACTAGCAACAGAGTCTTAAAATCCCCTTGCACGTGACCCTCAGAGGAGTTATGTGTGAGTTGACTGGCTGATGGCTTTGCTGGCAGACACGTCACCTCCTTAGTTGGAAGTGCTTGTTTTGTTATTTCCTTGCAGTTTCTCTTAGGAATTCTAAATTTAAAATGTTAATGCAAACTCACCAGTGTCCTTGGGAAGGTTGTTAGAATTTTTGTCCCATTTAGAAACAAAGACAGGTAATTATACCAGGAATAGAGCTGCACTTTTACTTCAATGATATGCACTAAATCCTGTTTCTTCTCCTTTTTCGGAAAATGGCAAAACACAGGGAAAGGAACAGGAGTTCCAGACCCTGGGTACCAAAATATTACAGACATACAGGAAATGACTTTTCAAATCCAGCCTGTAAACCTGTCATTTCATGGGCTTGTCTGTGAGCCTTGAAAAAGAGAGGCGAAGATCATAGAGCAGACATTCCTACATTATGGGAAGGCTGTACTGGGGCACCTCTGGAGGACTTCCCACGCCCCGGTGCTATGATTCTAAACTCAAGCCATAATTTGAAATGTTAGAGAAAAGCCAATGAAATTTGAAGCAAAATTTGTGGCTTAAAACTATCTCACTTTGCTTTAAAAAACAATTGACAACCTAAAATATAGTTTTAAAGGGACAGGGATATATTCCCAGCTCTATTGCTTTAAGGTGTTCAAATAAAAATACTCCAAATACGTGGTAATTAAGCTACAAAGTCATTGAAATATGCATTGATCATCTTTAAAACTTTACATATTGACCTTCATTTTACATCAGCCTAATGAAAAATGTTTCTGGTGTATTCAACAAATTCTGCACTTTTGGTGAACTGGTTTTGGATTCACTAATTATCCAAATATTTGTATTCTGAGTGCCTTCTAGGGGTAAGACATTCTCTGAATGAAACAGACAGGAATTAACAAATCAATCAGCTGGCTCATTCAGCCGCTCCTTCCTCTCCTTCAATGTAGTGAGGAAGCCCAGTTTTCTCCCCTGAAAAGAAGGGCTCGTAATAGCACATACCTCATTGAATTAAATGAGTTAATACATGCACCAAGAGCAAGCCTGACAAGTACTCAGTAAATGCTGGCTATTCGTTTAGTACTGAGCATGGGGGAAAACAATGTACAGGTCCAGATTTATCGATAAACAGAACCAAGTATATAAAGAAGGGAATGTTTGAACTGCTTCTTGGAGGATAAGAAGTATGTAGATGAAGCCTAGGCCAATCAAACTGTACCAGAGAAGGCACAGAACTATGAAACTAACAGGATATCTAGGGAATTGTAAACAATTCATTAGAGCCAGATTAAGAGGTATGTGAGACTAGGAGAACCTTCAGGGTTTACTGCCCAAACCTGTGTGATGGGAAGTGATGCAGAGGGCAAATTTCTAGATGGTGACACCATTAACTAGAAATGAAATATGGGAGTTGACATGGGTTTTGACACAGTCTTTGGTTTTGGACATCTGGTATGTGAGGGGTCTTTGAAAACCAAGGGGAAATATACAGTTGGATATGCAAATCTGGGGCTGAAACTTGGCTGGAATCAAGAACCAGTGTGGAGAATGAGAAAGGAACTATATAATCTACATTGGCATTCAAGGACTGTTGCCAGAGAAAGAGCCAGAGAAAACAGAGACACGAACCAGGATTGCATGGGGCCCTGGGAGAAATCAAGAGAGTAAGAAGAGTTTCTCATCAATTGGGATGTTTTTGATGGAAAATGACAGAAAACTCAACTCAAATTGGTTTAAACTGTCAAGATTTATTGGCACATATAACTGAAAACACAAACCTCTGCTGGATCACCCCTAAGCCTGGGGTGAGGAATTCAGCTTACCATCAACAGTTAGCAGTTACATTGAGTGCCTACTATGTGCCAGGCATTGCTCATCAATAAACAAAACAGCCTGAAAGTTCTACCTCTGGGGGCAATTCATACAAATGCTTCTTGGTATCTTTTTTTTTCTCCTGCATTAAAGTTTGCCATGCTTCAAATTGGGAAAGCTAAGTGGAAGGAGAGAGAGAAAGCTTCAGAACGTAATGAAAAGTTCAACAAAACACTTGCTGGGAATTTCACACCCTTTTGTAGGACTGTCTGCCTGGCACTCCTGTACTAAGTGATCATGGAGAGTAAAACAGGGGAGCAGTTCTGTATGGATACAAAACTCTAAAATCCAAAATTCCACCAACGATACATTTTAAGTCCAGCTGTGAATTTAAATGCATCAGTTTTGACCTATCAAGTTGAGTTGCCAAGTTCATTCAAATATCTATAAAATTATCACATTTTTCAAATATCTCTGGTAGGGCTTTGTGATCTCAATCATGTGGCAACATGTTTTATATATATGTAGGTCATGTCCAAAGCTGCATCAGTTCATTCATATTTTAATTGTCCCTCCTCTCATTTGGAAATGATTTTAATGGCTAAAAAGTAGTGTCGATTTTCTCAACAATGCTCTTTGATTCCAATTAGAATGTTTTCCACAAAGCTCTATAAGGCTATTTACACTTTAAATTTTACAACATGACCCAAAAATGCTTAAGTTCTTTTCTCAATTTTATCCTTATACAAAAAAGTTCTTCATGCCTGATACAACTTCCTTATCCTAAAGATGTGCAAACAATCAGAAATATCACGTGATTTGATTATCTAACAAAGAAGCAATTTGATTATAGAGGATTTTTCTTATCTATATGGGTTTTTCTAAGCTTTTACACTGGATTATCCCTAAACTAAGCAGCTCCTTACCTGAGAACCCACATGGACACCCTAAGCAAACATGTTCCCAAAACATCTCTGAAGGGGTAAAGAATCCATTCTCTAATGAGGTGACAGATGTAGAAAGTGCCACGAAAGTCTACTTTCCAACCAGGGATATTTCTGTGGAAGGTGAAGAAATCCACCTCCCTCCCCATTAATTGGCCATGTTTTGAAAAGAAACTCAAGATACAAATGGCTGAAACTGTTCCAAAATATTTAACCTTCCTTGTTATCTTCCCTTCCCCCTCCCATATGAAAACTAGCCTGAACTATGTATCATAGACGCACATTCCCAGAAGTTGCTTAATATCGCAAGTGTGGCCACTACTTGTCCTAAAATATTGAAACATACAACCCTTCCAAAAAGAATAGTATGTTTCCTCTCAATTCTGTTACCTTGTAGAAAGGAGGCTTAAAGCACCCATGGGGACTGCTGTAGTGAGCTTTTCTGTCTTAACTGGTATAAGCTGGGAGTTAAACCAATGGGAGTGGAACGAAAGGTTTAAAAGATTTTCAGAGTGGCTTGATGGGCTTTTTTTTGGTGGGGTTATGGTTTGCTGTCATTTTTAAAATTTTGTAATATTTCAGCAACTTCTGAGCTATCTGTTCCACCAATACACGCATTCAGACCACACATTTTGCCTCATAATTATAATCCCATTTAATTTGGTGCCACATTGGGTTAAGCTTTACCAGTTGATGCCATACCCCTCCAAATTATTTACATACAAAGACTTCAACCTTAAACAGTTTCTTGCTTTGTCAATTACTTCAATTTTGGGATTCATACTTTTCTAAACCTAGAGGATAGGCAGCTGCAGAATTGTTTTTTTTGTAAGTTGAGACATACTAGAAACCATCATACTGTTACGTTCCTTGCTTATTCCAAAAACATCATGGCTGGTATATTTTTAATGACACAAATTTTAATTTACTTGATCATGTTCCCAACTAAACAAATTTTATAGTTTTTTAAAGACTGGCTTCCGGTATGGGGGGAAACAATTGGACTGGGGATTTTTCAAAACTAATGTTTTTAACACTTTAAATACAGTGTCCTGTAATTAACACTGTCTCTTACAGGCCTAAGAATCATGGGAAGACTGATGCAGTGTTTTTCCTTTTATTGTTCAAAATGTTACAAATAACAGCACTACATTTGACCATATAAGTCAAATCAAATATTATCTTCCTGACTACAATCTTGTTTTCTTGATTATTACTATATACAAGCATTAAAATAGGAACTGGGTAGAGAAAACATGTAGAAGTAGGGTTGGCAGATAAATTATAAGACACCCAGTTAAATTTGATTTTCAGGTAAACAAATTTTCAGTATAAATAGGTTTTAAATATTACACATACTAAAACATTATTTGTTGTTTATGTAACATTCAAACTTAACTGTGTGTCCTGTATTTTTATTTTTGACATCTGGCAACTCTTTGTATTCAGCAAACTTACTATGTAACAGGGAAATCAATGAATTTTCACAATATAAGACATATACGTACAATACAATCAGGTGAGGAGAGGATCTCCACTACCTACCACAGAAGGATACCTGGAAAAGATGCCAATCACAGTTCCTAAATTTTGATTGGCGGATAGATGGTTTAGCGTGATGATTTTAGAGCTCAAGTGTCGTGAGTTAAATCCCAAATTCACTGCTCACTAGCTGTGTAACCTTGGATGTTACGCTTTATTATAAAATAAGGCTACTAATACCTGTTTTACTAGGCTGTTTGAGGATCACAGATAATGTTATGTACAAAGCACCCGGAACACAGGAGGAAAGCCCTAAATGGTAATACCTACTATTAACATCACATGGCAAAGGCAGTATCTGTCATAAATATTCAAATGTTAATGTAATGCAGTAATGGTACTATTGAATAAGTAATTTTATTTCCATGATCTATTTACACTGTACAAACACTGTTGAAAAGCACCCTACAAGTTCACAGTACATTACATTATATTTACTTTAAAAATACATTCCTTTATAAAAGGTTCATAGAACATTGGCATGTCAACATCTGACAGAAATCTCAAAGCATGTCACCAGTTCTGTGAAAGCAAGAATGCTTCTAAGTGTTGTCAACTTCACAATCACAAGTCACCATTTGAGTTTTAAATACATACAAGTTTTAAATAAAAAGTGAATTTTACAGTGGAAAGTTCCTGCAGCAAAACTTATTAACAGGTACTTTCATGGAGATGATATTTCATATTTTACAATATCAACTTATCTGTCCAAAAAACCATTTCATCAAGAAGTTTCGCAGTTCAAAATCTGTCATTTGTTGTTTTCTACTTTTTCTTCTTTGTTGGTTCTCCTGGTTCTACTTTGCGCTTTTTAGAAGTATGCTCGTCTTTTTCATCATCTTTAAACAGGAAAAAAAGAATTTCAATCAGTGATTTTTAAAAAGCATTACAATTTCATTTACTTTGTAATAATACCATCAGCTAGCTTCAACTAATGTTTCTTTCAAAGTTTCCCAATGAAAAAACAAAAATTAACTGATTTTAAAGTGCAAGTAAAAAAAGGGTTTTTTTTCAATTGTTATACAAAATTCACCCTTTAGTGCTATATTTAAGGTAAAATACAAAAATCAGATCTGTTCTGAAAAAGCTATTCCCATGTATTTCACAGCATATGTTGTATGTATTCAATCTACACTTTGTACAAATGGAACACACTATTTTTCATACACACACACACAAATCAATTTAACATAACGTTATTTAAATGGCTATCAGATACTTTTTCCCTTCAATCTGCTTTAACTACCCCCTCTCCCACCAAACAAATAACTTCCTTATCTCATCCCTAGGCTCCTTATATTTTGCAGTTAAAAAAATCACTCACAGGTAGATGTTTCACTGAAACTGTATTTTCAATTATGTCCTATGTAGTTAGTTCTACTCCCCTTACCCTCACTATCCCATTCCTCGCAGGGTGAGAATATTCCAATGGTAACAGAAAAACAGACATCTTTCCTCCTTCATACTGTGAAGAATTTGAGAGGGAGGATGGAGAAGAACCTTACATTAAAACTATGTTCTCTATAACTTTTCTAATGTCTGTAGCTACAAAAAATTAATTTGACAATATGTCAAAAATGAGAAGTGGACCATTTTTTTCAACTTAAAATATCCAACTACAGAAACAGAAAAACAACAACAAAAAATCCAACTACATGTTTCAATAAAACACAGGGTAGCTCAGACCAGCTGCTAATTTTCCATTTCTCTGAACAAATGTGTGGCTTTATATTAAGAACACTACATAGATGGAATAAATAACTTGTAGAATATATGATTTACAAAATACAAATTTATTTTAAGCACATTACTGAATTCATTGAACTTTTTGAAAGGGACCTTTATATTAAAAAATTTTGGAAGCCAATGATATCAGATCATAAAACTATAGAGGAAATATAGTTAAAACCTTAAGTCTTCAATTTCTTTCTGCTAACTGTACCATACTCAGAATATTTCCTTTGTTGATATGGGCAATAATTAGTATAAAGAGGTGATTCATCTTCATCTTCAAACATAGCATGGAAATGTTATTCATACATTTAATAAAGCACTATGGATTTATGTAGATGGTAAGATAAAAGACAATTCAGATTAACAAATCATCCCAGGAATTTACAAACCAAAGTTTTAAGCATTAGTTTATTATGTATACACGAAGATCCTTGCTCTACAAACCAAGTAAAATAATATACAGCTCAAATAAACCAAGCCTATGGTTTTTAATTGGAGTTTAATTATCTTCATGCTTGACTTTAGAGATTATTTTCAGTACTAATATAAAAATTAGTTACTTTGTAACTCTACTAGAAAAATCTGTTAACATATATAAAAAGATTATCTTAAGACACTTCTGCTTTTAACCCACCACTTGTTATAAGTGCATTTACCGAACAACAACAAAAACACAAATTACTGAGGCTGGAAAAGTTATCACTGATATGAGCAGAAGAGCTAATGCCATCTAGTGACATAACAAGGCATTGCCTTAAAAACCAGAGCAGGAAAAAACAACTCCAAAACCCTGAAATGTTCCTTCACCAGCTTTACTACTTTGTGCCATATATTACAGAGGCAAGAGTCAAAAAACAATTTTTCTATTATGGAAGTCATGTCACCAGAAGTAAATAAGTTTAAATTATTAATACAAGCTAATTTTCTAAATTAAAAAAGAAAGCATTAGCTACTTGAGCTAAGCTTGCATGACTGTTAATAAAGCTACAGTTCATTATCTAAGCGCTACAGATCTATATTTTACAACCACTAAACAAGAGGTGCTAATAAATAGCAAGATTCAATGACCAGTTTTGCACCTTTCTCAATTCCACTTAAAATATCTGGAAGAAGTTAACTGGCAAAAAGGACAAAAGGGCAGAAAATGGGAAGAAAAAGTAAGCACAATAATGTGATAATCTAAAAACTTAATACAAGATATTTTATGAATTAAAGGAAGGTATTTATTATAAGATAGACTTCAGGATTATCTTTCAATCTTGTGATCCGGCTTTAAACTGGTAAGAGTGTGTTTGGGTCCTTCTGTTTTTTGGTTTTGCCAACATTCACTTTCTGATGGAGGGCCATCACATGATCAAAAGCTCAGAAAATAACTAAGGCAATAGCAGTCTGTCACATATTTGGAATTCCTTCTATCTGAACTCAATAGGCAAGCTGGACAAAAAAGAAAATTCTTTCCACGTGTCCTGGATATATAATCCTCGCCTTTTCCAGAGGAACAAAGGAGAGCACCTGCGTATGGCACCCCAGTTACACCGTCAACTCTAGTGGCCTTGCTGTCATTCTTCCTATGGAACATTTCTTATGCACTCTCTAGCTCGAAAAATATATGAAGACTAAATTCCAGTTTAATAATGCGTCATTTCCATTTAAAGACCTGAATTTGTGAAGGTACCTACCTTAGAGCATGCCATTTTTTAGTTTTGTGGCTTTGGACATATCACACAAGCTCTCAGTTCCACATTTTCACATGGTGTTGTAAAGATTAAAGAGTATTTATGCAAAAGTGTTATTATTAATGATATAAAATACTATACAATATGAGGTATTTTAAATGCCCCCTTCATTTAGTATCTTCAGAAAGATGCATTTACTGATGTGCCTTGGTGATTTCTAATACATATTGGGAAATCAGTGAAAGAAATGAAAAAGCCAAGTAGAATAAAAACTGAAGAACTACCAGTTGGTTACCCTTGCTCTTAAAACAGTCAAAACTCTCTGCACGGTTGCCTTTGATTTATGGGAAGACGATCAGAAATCTATTTAACAAAAATGGTACACCCTTTCATTAAAATGACAGTCCAAAATATTTAGTCCAACTCAACAACTGTCCACTGAGTACTTAGGATGTATTCTCCTGCAAACTTTGATACAAACAAACATAAATAAAATCTGGACCCTGTTGTGTAAGGAACTCATTTTCATAAAGGAGCCAGACTGTGAATAACTAGTCACATAAAAGGTGGTAAGTGCAATCAATAGCATTAGAATACACAGGCACAGAAAATTAATTAGAGGGAGTTTAAGGGATAAATGAGTTTACCAGCCAAAGAGGAAGAGAGCATTCCAGACTACGGTGCAACATATACTGAAAGGCGTGGAACTATAAAGTAGCACGGCGCACTCAGTTTTGAATTTTAAGATCTGAAAGTGCTAGAAGGGGGCCGGGTGAAATGAGAGCGGAGAGAAAGGCAGAGCCCGGCACAGAAGGCTTTGACTCTGTGCTGTTGCTGAAGGGTTTTGGGCAGGTGAGTTACATAATCAGGGATGATTTCTGGAAAGTTAACATTATTAGCTGCAGTGTGAACGATGAAAATGGGTAATTAAAAGTGTGGCAGCAGAGATTACTGTGGCTACTTACAGTCCAAGTAAGAGATGAAATTATGATATTATGATGAAGGCAAGACAACTAGGTCATCACATTACTATTTTTAATGACTATATAGTATGACCCGGTTAAGCTCATTTTGTCACACTAATTTTCGCTTTAAACCACAACCCCTTTCATATAATATGAAGCCTTCACAACTGCAATCACAAGAAGGAATCCATGCATTAACTCCGCTATTCTAATAATAAGCCGTCATAAACCCCACATACCACTGCCTGAGATATCAGAGATTTCACTCTAGAGAGCAGTGGTTCTCAACCTTGGCTGCACAACGACCCTTTAATACAGTTCCCTGAATAATGTGTGCTCTTTCTCTAAAACAGAGCAAATACTACAGGCGGAGACAGCAGCGCTTCGCAGCTGACTTCATACTATCTTTCAAAACAAAAAAAAAAACAACACAGTAAAAAGTATTCAAAGACTCTCCTAATCAATTTGCTAGCTCGCTGGATTTAAACTGCATCCAGCAGCTCCATCTTCCTGAACCATCTCCGGGACCAAAAGGTGCTGATCGCACCCCCTGCCTCGCCTTACCCGACTCCACCGTCTCCTCCCCGTCCGGCAGGAGCCGGGCCTTCCGCACGCTCTGCGGGGCGTCGTCGCCGTTGTCCTCGTAGATGTTGGACCACTTGATGGCCATGTCCAGCTCGGGCGGCGGCGGCTTCTTCTCCGCCGCGTACGTCTCCGGGGGCGGCACGCAGTTGGACTTCCAGACTCTGAACTCCTTCGGCGGCTGTTGAGCAAACACACGGGGCGCCGTGAGCCACCGAGGCGCCCGGCGTCCGCGGGGCACATGCACCTCCCTGCCTGCCGTTCCATGACTGTGCAGGGCGACTTTATTTAAAGTTTAAAGGCACATTTTCCTTTTCCATCCAAATCACAGTACCGTTAAGTGAAAAGCCAAAGGGTTCCCTAGAGACGAAGAAAGCTGATAACTTTTTTAATTACCAAAGCAGAGTCCCGGGTCAGACACTACGCCAAGGCGGGCCCTTCCGGCGGCTGCAGCAGACACTGTCTTGGAGGCAGCACCGCAGGCACTTCGGCGTCAGGGGGGAGGGGTCTCGGG